CTAATCTTTATACAATATAGTCCGAATTTTATACAAAATAGTCCCAATCTTTATACAAAATAGTCCTAATCTATATACAATATAGTACGAATCTTTGGATAATATAGTTCTAATCTTTATACAATATAGTTCTAATCACTATACGATATAGTATAATCTTTGTATAATATAGTTCTAATCATTTATACAAAATAGTTCGAATTTTTATACAATATAGTCCGAATCTTTATACAAAATAGTCCTAATTTTTTTTATACAATATAGTCCTAAGCTTTATACAATTTAGTCCGACTTCCTAATCTTTATACAATATAGTTCTAATCTTTATACAATATAGTCCTAATCTTTATACAATATAGTCCTAATCTTTATACAATATAGTCCTAATCTTTATACAATATAGTTCTAATCTTTATACAATATAGTCCTAATCTTTATACAATATAGTCCTAATCTTTATACAATATAGTCCGACTTCCTAAACTTTATAGTCATAGAGACATCAAATGGGGGCAACGCGAATTTTTCTTTCAGGTTAAAAAGCGGGAGGGGGATGCTGTTGATGGAGTTGGTGACATCTCTCGGGTAGTCATTACATATAATTTCAAAGGCATTCTTGTATAGAACTCAATTTTTCCTCGTTCACATATTGCATGTATAGAGTTATTTTTAGAGGTATTCAGTCTTTCTTTCCTTCCTTCCTTTAATACATGATTTAACAACTTTAATTTCCTGGTGTTCCTACGTTTTATTCTAAAATTATTCAGTTTATAATCAATTTCTAATTCAATTTATCTATGTGTGCCTTCTTTCATTTATTCATTCATTCATGTAAGCGTTTTTTCGTTCGTATCTCTCACATGCTCAGTACAATAATATATACGATTCATTCATTCATTTGACCACAAAACTTATCTTTGATATAAAATTATGGTCCATCTTCCCAGCTAGCTCTCTCTTCCAGATAAACTTGATCTGTCATGTATTCGCTCATTCTTTCGGGGGTTCATTTATTAAGTCTTGCATTCGTTCGTTCATTCATTTATATGTCTATTCATTTATATGTATATTCATTTATATGTCTATTCATTTATATGCCTATTCATTTATATGTCTATTCATTTATTTATTCTTTTATTCATTCATTCAACTAAAAATCGTATCTTTGATAAATAGTCCATCTTCCTACTCTACTTTCTCATTCATTCACACATTCCTAACTTTTCATTCATTCTTTCGACCACATGATAGGTTTATGGTCCAGCCTCCTATCTCCGCTACCCGTAAATATTCAGAAACGTTTATCATTTTTTCATTCATTTGTTCATTCATTCAGACATACCTAACTTTAAGCCCATTCATTCATTCTTTCGACCACACGATATGATAGGTCCAGCCTCCCACCCCCGCTACCCGTCAATATGAATATGTCAGAAAAGTTTATCTAGCTATAGGAAACTTGAGAGACAGAGAGCGAGTTAGCCATCACAATAAAACCACTGTTAAGAATTCTCACAGATAGCCAATAGTAGAAACTTAGTAAAACAAATCGTAAAGACTATAGATAACTGCCTCAGTTTCGGTATCTGGAGATTTGAAATCGGACTAATCATGACATTATATTACCAATTTATAAAAGGATTATAGCAATCATAGTACAGGTAAATACTTAAATTTTTGGAATTTAAAAAATTTTCAAATAATTTTCAAATAATCCTAATTTTTGTTCTTAAAATCGGAATTTTTTTAAAGCGCATGAAATATTTTTTTTTTTATGTTTTGTATATGACCTTATTATATTTAATTGTACTCTATATTAGATTTTAATTGAGTTTAGTTTGGCAAAATAGCAGCTTTCTAACGTAGCGTGTCCTTCGTAAAACTTTTAATAACAGTTACTGATTTTGTTCCTAATGTAATTTCCGTCAGAAATGAAATGAAATGAATGGAGTATTACCTCCTACTTTTCTGCACCTTGTGGGCTAATGAAGACGGGTAATTTCCCTCAGAATAATTCTCAGTAATTTTTGAAGACTCATATTTCGTTGTTGGCTACAAAGTCATACATTCGTACTATCGTAAAATCTAAATGTTCTTGGACGTAACGACAAAATGTTGTTTTCAAACATATATGACGTCATAAAATGCTACGCGCACTAATCAACTGAGCGACAGCCCGCAAACATACAGGCAAATGTTAACATTCAAGCAGTCTGATTGTCTGGTATCGTTCTGTTTATCACGGCTGGAATGTCTGGTTCTCTAAAGAAATTCTGACCTGTCTGTTTTGATTACTGAGAATGGCTGTTTCAATTTGTTTTTATTGACCGGTCCGTGTTCTGTTTTTTTTTCTCGCAATATTTACTACACCAGGAAAAGCATATAAGGTTAGGGTTGTTTGGTTTATTTGAAGGGTGGGGCGCCAGGCGGATCGAACGCTAAGGATCCGGACGATAATTTGACGATCTATGGCGGTTTAGATCTTAACGTTGCAAATTGAAAGAGTAGGCTAATGATGCAGTCCTTATTGCATATTGCATGTAGAATATACTACTTTATTCTAGTAGCCTAAACTAAACTTTAGTTCCATTAAAATTACAAGAATAGATCCCTTTAAATTAATCGAACTTTGAATGGCATCAACAAATCCAGAATGTTATCGATTTGATTGATTCCAAAGTTTCTATTTTTCCATCATTATTGTTCCTACAACATGCTGAGGAGGCAGTTTTTTTTGCATTTTTTATTATTGATTATGGATTTTTATACACTCACATCACTACCAATTGATTAAAAAAAGGTTGCTAGTTCTGTAAAAGGTCATCAACATCTCTACAGTGCCTGTTATTTTATATTTCTGTATTATTTGTATTCTTGTTCCAAGATTTTAAGATTTGTATATATAACTACGACTATGTATTGTTTATATTTTCAGATAACATCATAGAGTCATCATGAGGTATAAAAACATCGTTTTAACACTTTGTGTCTTCATCTTACACATCACATCCAGTTTGGGTAAGCTTTCATTCTTTTAAAAAAAAACATCATTTGAAAATCAGGACACTTACATAGTGCTGCAAATGCAAATGCTCAAGATCTGTAAAAACGCCGAGGGAATTGGAGAAAAAAGATACCTACTCTTCGTAATTGAGTAAATGAGTAGCTTTAAAATCATGGAATCAGATTTTTTTCCAAGAAATTTACATATTATAAGCATACTCTTCGCTAGTGGCGTTTCTAGGAAGGGGTTGGGGTTTCCTAGATACGCCACTGTTCTTCGTATATATACATTACGTCCTTATTTTGTTACGTGAAACCATCTTCTGTCATCTTCTGTCATTACATACGGATTTTCTGACCGCTCTCTGTCCAACTAATGAAAATAATATTTTTAACAGGGAAATTAATCATCAGAGTACGACCACAGACACCAAGAATCTACATAAACGCACCACCAGGTGTCTCCACGTTGACAGTTACGGGTATTGACGACGTCACAGGGGAACAGACGAACGTTTTCCGGTTCTCGAGCAGTGTAGACTCGACGTATTTCACTATAGATTCCAAAGGTGTAATGCGAACCAACAGAACTATCAACAAAAGAGTTGGCACTACGTTCAAATTCTTTATTTTTGGATCCTTCAAGGGATTTGTGACGTATAAATCAATCGAGATCATCGTGTCCGAAAAGAACGAGTACCCTCCTGTGTTCACCAAAGATCATTTTACTGCTAAAGCTTACCGCTACCTGGACGATCGCGTCATTGTGAAAGTGGCCGCGCACGATGCTGATTTAGAAAACTACAATACAGATATCAAATATTTCATTCCCGATTATCCAGCTTCAGATTTTTTCTCGATCAGTGATGAAGGGAAGATAAAGCTGATCAAACCGCCACCTAGTGATATAAAGATCCTGACGTTCAACGTGTTTGCGATTAACGAAGGTTCCCCGGCCAAAACCAGCAACACTAACGTAACCATAGATTTTGTGGACTACCAACGTAAGTAATAAAGGCAGATATTTCATTTTGAAACTGAAGATTTTAAATTCCCCAAAAATCTCACAGCCAAGTTAGTTCCAATAGTATTTATTTTGCAATCGAGACGATTGCACCACGGACACAAAATCAAAGTGACTTGGCATGAGAAATGATCATTTCACATCAGTACTTGAACAATCAAATACAGCACAGACGACGATTCCATAGATAAATTAAAATTCTCAATGGATCATTGGGCTGCTTGTCTCTTTTCATAAATCCCGTCCTTAAGGATGAATTTGCCAGTAATTATTCGTTACAGATTCGTAAATGACGACGGATTTGATGCTGTCGCCGAACAAACTTCCCTAAGTGTATGATACTTTTCATTGCAGAGCCCGAAACCTTCTGTTTTATAACTGGAATAGATTATATTAAGCTGTGTTGGAAGAACCCAATGGTTGGTCGTAATATCACAGGTTTTATTGTAAAGATAACTGGCCGGATTAATCAGGTCGACATGATTCCTGTTGAGATGGAAACTCCGGAAGTGTGTCATACGTTACGTGGAACGGAAGTGGGAAAGCATTACAGATTCCAGGTGTCGGTTCAGGGTACGCCTGATAATGACATTGAGTTGGTTTTGAATAAAACTGGAGTAGGTAAGTAGATTCTTTAAATCTAACTAGTGGGATTAGCTCAGTTATATTGTGGCCACATGGATTTATTGCGATAATTAAAATTGTTTAAATTTATTCTATGCCCATGTCTTGTGTTACCTAAAATGGTTCATTAGTGGACCATCCATAGGTTTCCCAATAAAAAAACATGCCTTTCGTGCGATATTATAGGACTTACTACATTGCTATTTACTTTATGTATGCTCACATAAGCCGACTGCGTACTGAGAATGTCTCAAGAGTGAACCATTCACATTTGATGCTAGTTGTACCCAAAGTTCTTCAAACCCTGCATCTGACATGTTCTCACAATTTTTAATCTCTATCTCTTACAATGTGTCTCTATCTTTTAGGATTTACATCGGAGTGTCTCAACAGCCATTTTAGTCCCTGTAGTTACCTTGAACCCTGTCAAAATAATGGCGTCTGTCAAGTTTCCGATGGACGCTCCGCTAAGTATAAATGTGAATGTAGACCAGGCTGGAGAGGCATGAACTGCACAGAGCAAGATTTATGTGATAACAAACCCTGTCGAAACAATGGCCAATGTTTGTTTCTGGGACATCAGCTATTTAAGTGCGAGTGTCATGATGGATTTTTAGGCGCGAATTGTCAACATTTTAACGTCTGTATGACGTCACCGTGTAAAAATGGCGGCATTTGTCGTATGGATCAATATGGCGTCTTTACCTGCGATTGTCCAGATAACTATTCCGGTGAGAATTGCGAGATATTCGACGCTTGCAGACCTTCGCCGTGTAGGGAGCGGGGTCTATGTAATAAAGTAGGGGATAGGGATTTCAGATGCGATTGCATCATCGGCTATCAAGGAAAGAGATGCGACATGGTTGATAAGTGTCTGCTGGAGATGCCGTGTCAAAATGAAGGAACGTGCCTCAAGACCGGAAACAACTCGTACGTCTGCGAATGTCCTCCGGCTACTACCGGACCCAATTGCGAACATTTTGACCCGTGTTCACAGTTTCCCTGCAATAACAACGCCACGTGCACTGGAATCGGAAAAGCTAGATATAGATGCGATTGTACGCAAGGATATTACGGCGAAGAGTGTCAAAGATACGATCCGTGTAAAGTTCGGAATTGTAATTCCGGATCATGTGTTAAAATCGGATCGGATCAAACTAAGTGTGTCTGCGATACAGGATATTTTGGTAACAGTTGCCAATTCATGGATCCGTGCTCTGCGAAACCTTGCGGAAACGGTGGCGTTTGTCGGAACACATCTGTAGATCAATATGAATGTGACTGCCTTCCGGAGTGGTTTGGTGAAGACTGTGAAAATCTAAAGAGCTGCGTTCTTAACCTTTGTGAAAATAATTCCACTTGTATCAACCGACCACCGAATTCCTACGAATGCGTTTGTCCGACCGGATACTACGGACAACAGTGTAACTTGTATAACCAGTGCAATGACCGTCCTTGTAGTAACAGTGGCGTCTGCGAGAATATTACAGACGGGTACGTCTGCAATTGTCGAGCCGGATTCGGTGGTAAGAATTGTGAATACAGAGATCTATGTCGTAACAACCCTTGTGGAGCTAACGGAGAATGCATCACAGTATCCGATACGTTTTACATCTGTGACTGTTCCTACGGGTATACGGGTGAGCGTTGCGAGACACGGAATTACTGTTCGGATGAAACGATCTGTAAGAACGCAGGTGAATGTGTCTCGGTTGACGACGACTTTAAGTGTCTCTGTGCGGAGAACTATTACGGGCGATATTGCCAGTTTATAAATTACTGTAAGGCCAATCCGTGCATCAACGGAACGTGTCAGCTGAAGTACCAGGAAGACACTATTGATGATGTGGATTATTTGGGCGGATATATTTGCCAATGTTCCGACGGTTTCACTGGTAAGAACTGTGAACTAAGGATTATGGGTTGTAGAGGAAGATGTCTGAACGGGGGTTCCTGTGATGATAGTCAATGCATCTGTCCGGAGGGATTCATAGGTAAGTAAATCTTGTACGTCTTCTTCGTCCGACTGTCTAAAGAAAGTCACGTAAGCTCAGGTTTCAATCATCTACTATAACTCTCCTATATATCTAGAGTATTCTGAGTTGGTTGGTTGGCAGATGATAAGTTTAAGTCCGTTTCCAGTTGTACTATAACTTGGTCACATCTGATCAACCCATTGGCTTTTAGAAAAAATCATGTCGGTATCGTTACTTTACTCTTTCTTTGAGTCGAGTTTAGTTGACAGGTTTGTCTTTGATAGATGACAGGTTCACGTCTACGTCCAGTTTGTACTATATGACTTGATTAGGTTTGAACGTTCAACTCGTTTAACGTTTAACGACAGGGTTTGTCAACTCGATATGCCTTTCGTAAACGCAACCTAGTAGATATTGTAATTGTTTTAGTAGAATCAAGTATTGCAAGAACGCTCTGATTGCAACATTCCTGAACACCTGATGCTATTCTGAGACTGGGTTTGTCAACTCGGCATCCCTTTCAGAGAGCTCACACTTCTTTGGTATATATTTATTTTGAAACGATGGGAAAACAGAAGCGGTTATTCAACAGAAACCTGATTGTCAAAAATTTAAGTGCACTCCAATTCACATAATAATTTAATTAGCTAGGTTAAAAACCAGTAAATTGGATATTAAAATAAAACAGAAAATTCCCATGGAGAAAATGTAATACATCTGTTTAAAGTTTATTTTATAAGGCAATGATAAATTTAGATTTGAATTAACCATGACATGTGATATGTAACCACCACCAACAATTACAATCTGGGCAGGATGACAGAATAAAATTTAATTGGTCAATTAAATCACAGCAATAATATCAACCAATCAGATTCCTGGTTATTTAATGTCTCGGTTGGTTCTCATATCAAGTCAACTTCTAGAAATCTTACTGGTCAATCTCATCACGTCAATAATATCAACCAATTAGATTGTTGGTTATTTTAGGTCTCGGTTAGTTTCTATATCAAGTTATCTTCTAGAAATCTTATTGGTCAATAAAATCACGGCAATAATACCAACCAATCAGATTCCTGGTTATTTAAGGTCTCGGTTGCATCTCATATCAAATCAACTTCTAGAAATCTGATTGGTTAATCTCATCCGTGATGCAACAAATCAATGTTTTTAACATCAGGCGTTACAATGTTTTGACAGAGAGGTCTGAGGTATTCCAGAAGTGTGGACGAACCCTTGCGTTACCCACCACTGAATATTTTGACTTGGAATCAAAGCTAGAAGCTTAAGTAAATCTCTGATAAATTTTTGAATCAAGTGATAATCAAATTTTGCCTCAAATCGTTATTCTTCTTATGTCCAGAACTCAAAATGAAAGTCGTTAGGGTTTAATCTAGACTCGATAGTTTAAAGCAATGTGTACGTTTATTACAGTGAATCACTGATAACTTTTCAAATCAAACTGTTGTTTTTCATCAAATATTTGTCTTTATCGTTTCAGGTGAATTTTGTGAGATTGAGGTGACACCGTGTGAACCAAACCCATGTAACACCAATCAGTTGTGTGTAGTAACTGGTGCCCGCTATAAATGTCAATGTTTGAATGGAGCTACGAATCCACAGTGTCAGAAAGGTAACTTCCTTGTTTGTTCTAGTCATTTGTATGTAAGTTAAAGAACAATGGTTATAAATGCGAACCCTGAGAAATACCCCTTTTACAAACTATTCGATCGTGAAATGAAGAGTTTTTATAATTAAATTGCTATAATGTAAGAAAGGCATCGATTTCATTTGTTCTGGTTATTGGTATGGACAATAAACAATAGTGGTTATAAAAGCGAACACTGAGTAATACCCTTTTTATATAACGATTGTAGAATAATACCTTTATATTTCTACTTACTATCAAATGCAATCTAAACAGTTGAGGTATTTAAATCACTATGTAAGAAAGTCAGCCTTGAAAAACACCACGCTCATATTTTGTATATTGAATTTTGTTTTCACTTTTGTTTTATTTCGATGAGTTCTAATCCTCAATGTAATAATTCAAATCTAAGTTTCAAGAACGATTGTCAAAAACATTTAAATATTATAAAGATCCAGTTTCGTTTTGAGGAAATAAACAACGAACTTGTGATACTGAACATAATTGAGAATCTTTCAACTTTCAGGATGCCCAGCTGAAACTACCGTTGATGAAAGTGGCGAATATCATTGGCCTCAAACAGACATCCACGAAACAGCAGAAGTGCTATGTCCATTCGGTCCCATAGCGGATGGTGACGGTCTAGCGACAAGAGAATGTTTTAAACAAATGGGCAAAGCTGTTTGGGATAAACCTAACACAGTTATGTGCTCAAAGGTAAAACACTGGAATTTTCTGTGCATATTTTAATTTATTTCTATTTTATTATAAGGTGATCGTTCTCATTAGCCCAAACAGGTGCAGAAACATAAACTGCATTTCATTTTGAATTATCTACGTATCTTAATATTTACCTGTAATTATCAGTCTACGATTTAATTCACAATGCATATAACCAAGACTTGATATACAATGACCGGCAAAAAACATCCCTAATTTTACAAATGAGCTCTTCCAATCCAATACATATAATACATATTGATACAAGGATGCATGTGCGGAAGAGGTCAATAAGAAGTTAAGGGGTGTCAAAAAGATAACCCACACTTTTCCTTATAACTCGTATATAGCCCAATCTTTCTGTTGTATTAGGCAACTGATCAGCTTAATATTGTTAAGCATAAACAACACATTACTATACTGGATATTATTTCGAATTTCAGATGGACCTCGGGGCTGTGAATCAAGAACTGGATGCCTTAAAATCCTTAACTTCCAATCCCTCTAAACTCGGGCCTGAAGATGTTACCAAGGTTACCGGAGCTCTGGAGAATATCTTCAGATTCTCTATCGAAAACAAAGAGGTAAGAATAATGGTGCCACTCCACTGCTGATGGTTTGGTTTATTTAGAGGGTCTGGGCTGAGTATTTGCATTACCAATCCCGTATCTCAGAAGAGGGGACGGAAGTGTGCCAGGCCCACCCTAAAAATATTTCACTCCACGAGCTGGACAAGTTTGACCTATGTTCTGTTGTATGTCCAACGATATCATTTATTTCATTAGATTTATGACCCCCCCCCCCCCCCCCCCCCCGCCACACACACACACTTTCTGGTAAACTGGGGCATGCTACACACCTGTGGAATATCTATCAAAAATGCTTTTTTCCCAGTATTTACTGAATCTATTTTCTCTGTACCAGATAGCTGAGAGTATGGTAACAGTGGTCAGTAACCTGGTAGACGTCAACAGATCAGTTATGATTGAGAGCAGTGAGAAGAGTCATACTAGTGACAGGTCAGTTGTCATGCTACCAGTACCATTGACCTTCCCACTTAGCCCTCCCCTCTTCTCTCTTTAAACATTGATTGTCTCACTTACTATTACCAGAATTTTACCTTATACGATACGGCACCCATTTTCACGATGCTATTACGAAATCCCTCTAACACCTTAAAACCAAACTGCAATTGTCTTGTGTCATTGAGCCTGTAAATGCAGCGGTTAGATTCGACTGACACAAGGGCATTCAGCCTATCAGAGTCCTCAACTCTTTTACTATGACCACAGTCTTTACTGACACGTGACATCATATGAAGCGTTTGATCATAATTTGTAAAGGAAAGATCAAGAGACCATTCCTTTCACGATTGCGTTTTGAAACTGTCCATTGGGATATACATTATGTTGCGATCTATCATAAAATTATATGGCAATTAATTAGTATATCAAATTGGCAAAATTGGAGACGAGTTTTACCAGACGCAATGGGGAATTAACATTCCATTCTTTTCAAATCTGATCAAAGAAAATCGCCTGGACAAATATTATTCTTTCTATACATGTCCTACTTCATGACGTCATATCCGGATTTTGTTGATATAATCGTATCTTGAGGTTGTTTATGAAAAATTTATTGACTTTCGTCTATAAAATACACATTTCTACATTCATTATGTATTATCAAAATAATATCAGTATTGTGTATATATTATAATGATATTTTAAGACACGCGTTTCCTTTCCTGCTGGAAGCAGTGGCGGAGCCAACAGGGGGTGGGGGGAGCCCTAAGTCCCCCCCCCACCCCCGCCTACCTTCGCAGCCCCAAAGGCATGTTTTTCGGGCAACAATCTCATAATTAGGTTAGAGATTCGGGCAACCTCAGATATTTCGCCCCGAGACGTAAACCTGATTCCGCCATTGGCTGGAAGGCGAGTTTCTTGAGTATATAGGAGGAGTTCAATGTCTTGGGACACAGCTAGTACCTACAGTATTGTGTGGTATTTTATTTTGGTATTGTCGACCCTTATACTCTTCTGCTGTTTAAATGAAGGAGAAACAAACTCCTTCTGGGCAGTCCGTTATCAGTGTTTTCTCTTCCATAAATACTGGAGTTTTAGCTGCGGGATATTTTCTGGTCAGCAATCTCAGACATAAAGCAATTTCCGGATTCCCAGGGGAACAATAAATAGATTATAAGAAAATATCTTGGTTTAATTGATTTATAATGGGTTTAAAACACGCTACTTAGAGCCTTTATATTCTCGAAAATGATGGGAGGAATTCGGTGAGTTAAAAGGGCTTGTAAGAGGTTTTCTAAACTTTTTATTTGTATCGGGGACACTGATAGCATCAATTTACACCAATCCAATTTTCAATCAGACGTCTGTGGTTCCTGCAACCACTAAATTTAAGCGTTTGATGAAGTCACTTATCGCGAGCCTTATGTGATAAAGCAGAAAATTAACAATTTCATGTATATTCCATTATGCCATTATTCCACAGGGAAAGAATGGCCAGTGCCCCCCTGGAAAATTTTGTGGTTCCTGCTCAGCCCCCTCTCCCGATGATTCCTAGAAGTGCCACTGAGCTTGGTATTTGGTTTAACACGCTAACGGAACCTTACGTGATATCTTTAAATACAGTTTATCTTTTAATTGATTGCTTGTATTATTTATTAGTTTGTTCTATTTTACGAGAAACCTGCTAAATAACAAATTTGCTAACAAAAAATTGGTTTTAATCACGTTTTACATTTTCTAAAGGCAATTTTCTTAAGTTGATTCATTATAGCTTTCGTTAATTAATTATTTCCCTGAAAAAAAATTCGTTGTTGTTTTAAATGTGTTATTTAAACGTTTCTGACAGGTTTGTAAGATATAGCCTTAATTATATAAACAAAAGTATTTCCTGGACGTGAATTAAATTTGAAATTGCATACCACCCAAAACTTTTCTTCTCCTGCAGAAATATTAAAACTTTTGTAGGACAGGGCGTCTGGTTGGTCGCATTTGTGAACATACCTTCCTTGACAATGTCATCAGATCGTGGATCGAATTCTACTCGCAGAGATTTTACGGAATACAATAACCGTATTTTGATTAGAAGTGAGGCATGCACATTCTTCTTATGCACCCGATTCCACTCTTTGACGTAGAGCGACAATCTGACGTCTAGCTCATCTACAATAAAATGAACTGCATTAACGGGCGGAAGTGATGACTGCTCAAGTAGGACGAAACGTTGCACGAATAAATAAGGCGTAAAAGTGCAAGTCAATCATTTTAAGAAAGCCTAATTGAATTAGTGAATAGAACGCATGTACCGTATAGTCGAGTTGGTTAGCTATACGATTTTACATGGTTTTTATTGAACGATTTATTCAGCGCTGAATGGCATATAATTGTACAGTTAATAACAGTATGATATATCTCAATATGACTGGAGCTAAGCCAATAAATATATTCTACTTTAATTAAGTTAATTAAGTTCCAAATAAGAAATGCTGTGATGATTTTATCGTTTCAGTTTCTCCGTAATTGAATAATGTTGATTGATCTTCATATAATAAAGGCGCCATGTACAACGTCGACGCATCGTTCTGACGCTATGGTAGTGGTCCAATTAAATACTTTCAGAAGAGATAGACGTTTTTCGTATAACGTCATACAATCAGAAATTATGGGATAAATCGACGTCATACAATCAGACGTTATGGGATAAAATGACGTCATACAATCAAAAGTTATGGGATAAATCGACGTCATACAATCAGACGTTATGGGATAAATTGACGTCATATAATCAGACGTTATGGGATGAAGTGACGTCACATAATTCGTTTATTTTCAACTTTTTCAGGCTTCTGACTATTTTAGAAGATTACAGTGCGGATGTTAAATCCACTGATGACGTCATTACTGTATCAACGGCTAATATTGACATCAAATCGATAGATGTCGTCCCTAGTATTGTAGGAAACAAAAGTATAAGTTATGAACCGCAATCATCTAACCAGTCTCAGGTATTGCATTTTTTTCAATTCTTTTGTCCAAACATAATCATAAATAAGCTTAGATTCAAAGCTTGATATCGATTCTAGCGGCAAACGCTTTTTGTGTTTTTAAAGACGTCACTTCCGTAACATAAATACCTAACATATTTTAATCGATTTGTTCTTGAAACCATTAAAAATTCATAGAATAATCTCCTTCAAGAGAATCTTACATTATCTTTTGTTATATAAACACTTGAGATTCCACTAGAGCAGTGAGTGTATTACTGTCATGTAGTAATACGTCCGCCTTTTAGATTTTCAACAAGAGGCGGAGCCAAATTTAGCATTCGGAGATGGTAGTGTGTCCGCCATTTTCATTTTCTTACGAGAGAGAGAGAGGGGGACGAACATGGTGATGCTAAAGAATTGGGAATGGAGCTCATAATAAATTAGTGGAACCATGACCGGGAAATTCGAGAAGGTTGAGTCCACAAATAGCAGTTATTTGCGAAATATCACAGCAAAATCATTGGCCAAGAACTACCTCCCTATTTCGCCCCTGAAATACATGAACAAAAATTGCAAACAAAATTATTAGTCTACCTTCAAATAGTCGTTTGTAACTGATACTATACAATTCATCATCTTGAAAATATCAGCTGCATGGAACGTCATCAGGGGGGAAAAAATATGCCATTGCCATGAAAAATTGGCGGGAAAAATCAGTTAACCTAAAAATATGGAACGCATTACTGAAAAATATATATGCAACACGAAACGAAACATTTACCAAAGGTTGCTAAACGGGCAACATTCCAATTCGGATTGAATTGTTACAAAGTAGTTGAAGCCTTGAAGACTAAAAGCCAAGATGTTGAAGTAAAAAAGAGTTCATATGACTTCAGAAGAATTTGGGGAATGGAACCTCCATGGTCTCGTGACATCACATTCCGTACTTGCTTTCAGTGGCTTAACCAGATGAGTGGGGCCCGAAGTATTAAATTTCTCAGATTTTCATATTGTGCAGTTGCAGGATGTTTTTTTCCTAGCTAGCATACCTATCAAAATTAGATTCCTGCGTAAGGTTCGTCTTCAATGCAAGTTAAAACTATTGTTTCTTGACTAACCACTCAGAGCAGCATCCTCAATTTGTTTGATTATTTGAACGAAACATTACAAGGATATATCCCTTTGATTCTTTGTACTTATTCGTTTTGTGAAGTTGCAAGCTGTCGGTATTTCAAACGCTGGCTTTCGCAACAAAAACAGCAAATGAACCTATCAACGCCGGATGTTAAAGATTTAAACACAATTTTATTTCAAAGAGCGCGAATAAAATATGATCAAAGTAGGGAATTATTTGAATATAAATCTCGGAGAAGGCAGGTGTTTGACACCTTCTTAATTAAAAAAAATGAGAGTTTTACGTCCTATTTTTCCGCACATGATTGAGCTAATGAAGACGGGCGGCAGCAGTGTGCAATGAGTGAATGGTAATAGCATAGCATTGACGCGAGTAACGGGCTGGCGGCCGTGTGTGCCGATCTTGGATTTTGAAAGGTGATGAGGATCAATAAATGAGCTTTATCAACTAGTAAAAAAAAATATTTAGACGGCTATATCCCTTCAAATTATCAAAATATTAGACTGCGTAATAGCTGATATATCCCTTTAACATTGAGACCTAGTACTAGTTATAAATAATTAGAAGTATATATGACTTTAAGACTAAGAGCGAGTATTAGGTATAAAGTATACGAGACAGGTATAAGTGGTTTATTGAAGTAGAGGTGTATTCTATCTAACAGTATAGCATCAATCCTTCACTACTTAAAACACAAACATATTTAACTTTAAACAGATTTTTAATATGAAACGAAGCGCACGTCATAAATCCCCCCCCCCCCCCTACCATTCTGATAAGCACTACGGATAACAGGCAATTACACGATTAATACCGACGAGCCAAAAACCCAAAATCTGAAACCAGTTGAATCAGTGGAAAGGAACAAAGATTAAAAACGGAAGGTAAATCTGTCAAGAATGAAGAGATGAAAGTATTTAGTATTTACTTTGATAAAAAGATTTACATGGTCTAAGTTAATCAACCTTTACTATATACAAAAACATATTTTAACCATTCCGAGTGGGCTTTGTTTATACATAACCAAATGTTCAACATAACTTACTACTGATTTGGTCATACTTACAGTGGCGGCGAGCGTGGGAATACAGGAGAGTGGGACCATTTACCCCCTTCCCCCCAAGAAAATTAGTTTCTCACCGAATCGTATTAGATTTTCCTTGCCTGATTCTCTTTGAGAAGCAACATAATGCATACGATTGGTTATTCCCTTTTTTGTCATTTCCAGGCTGGAATCTCCATCTCGCTGCCACCAGAAATATTCCAAGATGATGAGCAGAGGAATGTCCGAGTCCAGTTCATGGGTTTTCAGAAGTCTACATTCTTCAACCCGGCCAACCCGACTGAATTTCAATCTCAGAATGTCGACAACCAGAAAGTGGTGACTGCCATTGTTAAGGGGAGGAAACTCCAGAATTTAAAGTCTCCTATTTCATTCACAATGACCAGTATCGAGGTAATTTCTCAGTTTTTGTTTGAATCAAACCTTTACAGGGTTTCACAAGGAATTCTGCGAGATAAAGAAAGGCCATGTTTAAAAAAAGGGCAAAGTGGGATCTGGGTGGATCTAAAATACAAAACCCTTCGAAAGTTTGTTGTTTCAAAACCAAGGCATTTGACTCCATTACGCTACGGCCGTGTAACTGTAAAGCTCAATATAGGAACAAATGACGTCGGAAAGGGAAAACCAGGCAAATTCTGCTAAAATAGCAAAGCCATGGTACCAAGGTGAACACGATAATCCTCTCTGAAACACCAAACACATATCCATGACTTTGATGTATGTTTCTCCATTGCAGCCAAATTCCAACCATACCTGCGTTTACTGGGACGTTGATAGTAAGTATTCATTGATGTAGCCTTGGGGTTGGTAAGGGGTTTAAATAAGGGCTGGGGTCGGTTTCAGCTTCGGATAACCTCTCTTTTCCTATTGAAGCCACGAATTTCCTTCCCTGATTGCCTTCTTTTTGTGACGATATTCAGTTTTCTGTTGATTATGTGCTTCCAAGATCCTTCCAGTCAAAGACATGCCCTCCCCCATCTTTCACTGTTAACTAACACATAATCCAGTATAGATTAAAAGAAAATGATTATGATTTCAGAGAGTCAATGGTCTAGTGAAGGTATGAAAACTGTTATCAGTAATGATGTTACAGAATGTCAATCCGACCATCTAACCAGCTTCGCTATATTACTGGTAAGGCTTTTTAAAGGGTTTGTAAAGGGTTTTTCTCAATTTTTTATGTGTATGGGGGACACCGATAACATCAATTTGCACCATTCACATTTTCAGTCAGACTATCATGGTTCTTGTAATTCCTATAAACTAAGCGATTGATGACGATACATCGCAAAGGTCAGATATTATTGGCTGTCCTCGATAAAAGTATAATTTAGGGGTTTTCTTTTCTTTAAACTCGTGTTTTGAATGTGTCTTTCAGGACCCGAGTCCAGAACATGTTCTACCGGTAATCCATGAAGAAATCCTAACCTATATCACGTACATTGGCTGTGCAATATCCATGGTGGGGCTAATTCTAACTATTATTACTTACTCCTTATTCAAGTAAGTATAATTATATTATCTCGCTTCCTTCGATTCATATCCATTTAATTGTAGACTAACCAAAAGTCAGATTTTCTATTCACCTAAATGATATGGATACCCGTGCTCTATATCAGTTGCTAAAGAAAATATTGAGACGGTTATATCCTGATAACGATCACTCTGGTTTGTCCAATTCTTTTCAATAGCACCCATAGCTAAATGGTAGCATCATGAAAATCACTTTAACTGACCCACCCAATTCTGGTATTTCAGATGTTTACATGGTGAAAAATCTGGAAAAATCCTCTTGAACCTATGTATAGCAATGTTACTGATGAACGTAACGTTTTTACTGGGATCTCAGAGCTCCTCGCTGTACGGGAACGACATCTGCATCACGGTGGCTGTGTTTCTCCATCTCTTCTTACTGGCGACTTTAATGTGGATGCTGGTAGAAGCTGTAGAAATGTATCAAGCTCTGGTCACCGTCTTCAAGAAATATGCTAGATTTTATATGCTGAAAAGATGCATTGCTGGATGGGGTAAGTGGAAGAGCTGAACTTCATGTCTTCTATGAGTTCCTCAAACGACCGACCCCCTTCTCCTGCTCTTCTACGCTCTTGAAGTCTCTTGGCAACCAGTTCTGAACAAAATTTGGAAAGAAATTTGACTCCAGGAATATTTTGAAGAAGAACAGTAACAATTTTCAGGAGAGTCGTTGGAAGGGCACGTAGCGAAGTTCTTCCTCTCTGTTGCCCCGGTGCTTCTGAGCCCCTTAGAGCGAATCGACTTTTCTCTTGAATACCTGACGAAAACCTGGTCTTGTTTGATTCCAATCATTTCTTACTTTTAGGTATACCAATACTGATAGTATCGATGGTACTGGCCGTGGATTTAGATCACTATAAACCTAATACTGACTTGTAAGTATCTGTAGTACCTATCACTTCCGGTAGGGAAAAACTTAAACAACGGAGTTTTACATCATTAATAAAGTAGAGTACTACATCATATATTTGTGCATATGGATTGCCAGGCATTACGAACTACTGTCTGTATCCTTTTTTGTGCTGTATAAGTCATTGATGTCCATGTATGATATTCTTTTAATTCAATCGTATATTTAATACAACGATCTTATTTCAGCTGTTTCCTATCCCAGTCCAGCCCAGTAGCTTACTACATCTCTCTGGTTGGTCCAGCGTGTCTCATCCTTATTACCAATACCATAGTCTTCATCATGGTGGCAAGGGTAATCCTTAAACCACGGTTCCAACAGCAAGAGAGGGGCACAATGACCGTCACACCAGCACAAGTGCGTGGAGCGTTCACCGTCATGATCTTGCTGGGCATCACCTGGGTGTTCGGGCCACTGGCTATTCGCGAAGCAAAGCTTGTGTTCAATTACTTATTTTGCATCCTCAACTCTCTACAAGGATTCATGATATTTGTGTTCCGATGTTTATTCAATCCGGAAGCTCGTCTTGCCTGGATTCAGCTGATCAAGACGGGAACCTTTAAACGACGTCGAGGTCCAGTCAAATCTGTGTACTCATCAGAGGCTTCGTCGAAAATGGACAGATCCAATGGTCACTTTAGCTCTAACGGACATTCTAAAAGTAATATCATTCAAGCAAATGGCTGGCACGGAAATAGACTGAATAATGACAGTGATGAGAGTCCGTATATGAAAGCCAAGAGGGGCCACAAGAGCGTTAATATGGACACCAATATGCTTACTGGCAAAGAAAGTGTTAATACGGAGGTGGAGTTTATAGGAGATGGGCGTGATATTAATATAAATGACGATTCTACTAGGCTGTGATCTGGATCACATTATTGGATCACATCCATGGATCACTGCAGTGGATAATGACTTGAATTACTGCTGGGGATCATTGCGTTGGATCATTGCGATGGATCATTGCGGTGGATCACTACGAAGGATCACTTCTGGGGAACAAATCCGTTTATGATGGCTGTCATCATGTGAATCAATGGATGGATGTTGATCGCTATAAAGCATCACCAAGCTTGAACATGGCGATACAGCAAGACGATTGTTCACGGTTGACGGTTGTAGATCACTGTGGTTAAATTAGAAAGAAACAATTCATCCATAAGACTTTGTAATAAAACAATTATACTTTCCCAAAAACATTTAATTGTGATCCGCGTTTTGTTTCCAAAGACTTGAATAAACTTGAAAGTAATCCTAATAAATACCAATGTACGATCCTATAAAGTGATGCCAGTTTCCACAGGAGAAGCCATTCCCGATATAGGATGCTTCAAGACAATAATTAAAGTGTATGGTGTTATCATGATTTTGTTATAAATTATCATGATTTGGTTACGAATTATTTAACATGATTTGGTTACAAATTATCATGAATTTGTTACGAATTATTTAACATGATTTAGTTACAAATTAACGTGATTTTGTTACAAATTATCATGAATTTGTTACAAATTATCATGAATTTGTTACAAATTATCATGATTTGTTTACGAATTATTTAACATGATTTGGTACCGAATTAACATGATTTGGTTCCGAATTATGGTTTCCTCACAAATTATCATGATTTGGTTACAAACTATTCTTTAGATATAAACATCACGATAATATAATTGTCAATACCAAATAGCGATAAACGTCCCAATAAGCAATATTTGTAAATACTCTTTGTTTCATGAAATTTGTAAATATGATCTTTGAGATGTTGAGATTATGACGTCATATCAAGATATATATCTAGTCACAATAAACTGTTGATTATATTCGAGTTTTTTTTTTTACTGGGAATGTGGGGGTAAAGTTTCATCGGCGAAGGAGATGGGGAGGGGGGAGGGATTTGGAGGGAGAGGTAAAGACTTTACGTTTTACGTTTCTACTTCTGTTTGGGCTCACGAAAATGGGTAACATCATGCAGACTGGAAATTTTTACCATGACAGCGACACGGGATCATTTTTTTAACTGTCGAACGATCTACCGTTCTATCGTTCATTCCAACATCCAAACGACTTTTTACATGCCAGCTCCTTCGACCACCACCATTGACATAACCCCGATCGACCTGTGGGTTACTGAGCCAGTGACCATCCTTCTAAGCATCCAAGGGGTCATATAAAATATAACAGAGGATAAAATACTCATTATACCCCATCTGTTCTGAAAATTTGAGTATCTTCGTTCTCTTTGAGGTATACAAAAAGAGCTACAACAAAGAGCCTTTGATACCGTTCTCATTTAGATAACGTTGGCGAGATTCCATCAATTTCCTTGTGAAAAGTTGCACTTACAATTTGGAAAGTTTTCATACCGCGAAAATAAAACAAACGTTATCATAATATGTAAAAAAATGGTATTTGTACTTGAATATTTCCATCGTCAACGGGGACATGAATTTCTCATGTTTTACGGTCCAAAGAACTGTATTGCATTGCATAGAATATACAGATATTTTGGGGGTTTTTATCAACGAAAGAATAAATTCTCATACTTATAACCAAAAGACAACCGAGCGTGTGATAACTTTTATAAAATTTATCAAAAAGTAACAGTTATCCCTTACTCAAATTTATTCAAAGTATTTGCAATATTTAAGCCTCGGGAATGTGAAATCGCGAACTTCAAATGCATGTCAAATCTTTATGTCAAACTTATTTTTCCAAAAAACTATTCAAGTCTGAGCCAGGAGAGATTTTTTGTGCTAAAATTTTAACAGTTTCAATTTGTGTTTGTTTTACATCAAAGACGTGCGGATTGTCGTACTTTTGAAGCTGACGCGAAAATTCCAAATGGCGGCCATGTTTGTTTTCTAAATTTGGCGGTAAGTTAATAGAGGCTGTTTGTTTGTTGCTACGGAGTTATGGAATATCTTCACGCCGGGGGTTAAATTGAGTGTCGATGGCGAGGATTAAAGTCGTTTGCGGATGTTTAAATTAGTCGTCCTCAGATCAGAGTCAAGACAAAAGTTAACTGGTCTGCAAACAGCAAGGATGTACCCAATACAACAGGTGAGACGGTTTGATTTTTCGTTCGAGATTAATTGGTTGGTGAGTGCTAATATACTTAATTGGACTATAAAGACAACATTTGCACCGGTCTAGATTACTTTGGACTGCTGTCAATTACAGTTAATATGAGATAATGGAGTCTTAGCTAAAAGTCATTTGCTGTTTTGGACAATTCAAGCCCGTAGCCAGACTTGATTGTTCGGAGGGGTAAGTAATATATCCTGAGGGGCAAGTGTGTATGGTGTTTAGTTGCAGTGATGGAATTGGTCGGTTGTCAGAAATTTTCAGGGAGGCAATCTATCGCCCGCCCTCCCTCTCCTTGCCCTCTAGGGTTGGGACTAGGGCTGGTTTGTGTCTTTAAAAGTTTCGAAATTGAGCACCTGCATTTCAATGAACCCATCTATAGCTTTGTAAGCTGGTAGTTGTAGTAATATGTCTTATAATAGAATGTCACGTTTCAGATCTGTTCAGTATGTACTGTGCTAGTTTTAACAGCAGTTACAGCTCAAAATATACAGGGAAATGACGTCCTAAATGGTAAGTTTCATCCAGATATAATATTCTTTTTGGAGTGAAAGCCAGGGGTAGAGGAGTGGGTAGGGTGATGTTGTAAAGCCTCGACCTATTCCCGCCCTCCCACGTCTTTATCATTTCAATTCTGCGAAAGATATCGATCTGATAATCCCCATGTTTTTATAGGGTACCCATGACTTGCTTTATCTATCGACAACCGCCACAGTACTTTTATTGATTAAAACAGTGGTTCCCATCCTTTTCAGCCTTAACACACCTGGACCTTTCACGCCCCAAAAAATTTCTTTCATCCGCATTTCCAGCATGTGATGATGTGAGGTGCTCTCTCAATTCAAAATACATTTTTCTCCTACAACAGATGGACACACCTCTTACACCCTAGTCCCACACCTCAAGGGGCGAAAACACCCAGGTTGGGAACCGGGGGATTAAAATCACAGAAGGGTAAATCATAAAGATTATTTTTCAGAGTGTAGTCGCGGCTTAAGAAGACCTCATCCAACACAAGAAAACGGTTTCCAGATTTTTGTGAGGAACGGCTGGCGAAGTCAATGGTTGGACAGACAATGTCCGCAGTATCAGATCTACGATCAAAAACTCTGTGGCTGCATGGAGGTACATCAACCAAGACCTGAACCACGACAAACTAACTTCCAAGTCGAAAACAACCGTCAGGTCGACGACTGCCCGTTCCATCGCCGTGGAGCGAACGGTCCGTCAACATACGAACGCCTTGGCGAGGACGGTTGGATACAAGAGGACTGTAACTGGCCATTTTATACCGGATTGATTTGGGATCAGGACAATTGCCGATGTGAATGGGGCCCGAATCCCAGTTTTCCGGAAATTATCGATCACAGCAATGGTAAGGACATTTTGATTTATGAAAGGTTTAGGAGTTTATATAGTCCATCCCTTGATCACAAATGTATAATAATGCACAATGATATATGGTCTTACATGTCTGTTCCGATACAGGCTCGTATACGTCTTTCATCACGATGTTCAGAGATATTTTCCATTTACAAACTCCAAATGGACTTTAAGTGTAAAACGAGGATACGTTCATCATTGTTTAACATCCGATATCACTATATATGTATTACTCACTGAAGGGGGTTCTCTAATACAATTATTGTGGTATATGAATTTGTTATTTGGGGAAAAACACTATATCAATCAAGTTTTACGTCCTACTTTTCTGCACCTAATTGGGTTAATGAAGACGGACAACGCCATATAGCGTGCAATGAGGGAAATTTTGCCACTCTTGTTCGATTTCGAACCTCTTCAGGAGAGAGCTAATCTAATAGGATTATTTTGTTTCATTGTCGAACCCCAATCTTTCCATTTCAGTGTTCGTTCCAGCAACTTGTCTCCTCATGTTAAACATGACCTTTGACGATGCCATTAAAGACGAAGGCCGGGATCTCTGGTTGAAGAAGAACGTCAAGGATTCCTCTCACATCATTTCGGATCCCGGAGCAATCGGCAACGCTGCTCAGTTTTACGGAGAATCCAATATCGCGGTTCCTTATTTCAAAGGAAATTCTTTCGGCACTAGATTCAAGGTTGCCTTCCGGTTCAAACCCTGCGATGACCAGCAAGAATTCAAAATTGACAAAGTCTGCGATGGCGGTAAAAATCCACCTTTTGAGTTCACTTATACAGCTTGGGATAATATTTTCACGGTTGCTATGGATACGTTGAATTCTAATGGACCAATCATAGAAAGCTGTCCGGTCAGTAGGGTATGTACAGTTGTTTTTAGCTGTCTTAGGAATCCAAAAATCAGTTGGCCTGATGTTGGCTTTATTATCTACAACGCCTTATACTTATGGTATGGGGAAAAGCCTGGCTAGACTCTTTGTTTCCTAAGCAAACGCCATTGGGTGAGATCCCAACCCCTGCTGCCCTCATACCGCCCCCATAAATGTTTTAAAATTGTAAGTTCTATGTTTCAGACAAACAATGGTTGGTACAATGTAGTGATTGTCTACCAAGATAATTTCTTAGATGTTAAAATTAACGATGTGCCGTGTATTGGCTCGGATAAATTTATTGGTAAGAGTTATGTCCCTTAGGCTTAGAAATATTAAAACAGAACCTGAAACATGTTGTTTATCTTAGGCATATAGCATAGGCCTATAGAATTTTTTTTTTTTAAACTTATTATTTTCAATAATTTCAATGCAAAATAGTCTAATCTAATGCTTGTATGCATAGAGCAATGCCAATATGGTGCGATGGTAGCCTACATCAAGTTAATTTTTAACAAAATTCTAATAGGCCCTACATATAAACATTTCTGATCTACTTACCTAATTCAAAGCCGTTTCCTCATCATAAACATCGTCGCCATCAGCATTGACCACAGAAAACTTCAACATGACATGTAGGCCTACCAAACAAAGTCTCTTTCTGCGATCGTTCTTCTTCGTTGGTGAACAGACAACACATTCCAATGGCAGACTGTTTCCCGTCATAATCTCTTCTCAAGCCACCTCTAATTTGAAGAGTTCTATCTTATGTTGTGATGTTAAAATGTAAACAAACAAAAACAACATTTCTCCCAGCGGCAGTCTTTTCCCGCCATATTTGATAATAAAAGTACCTCCCAATTGAAGAGCTCCACTCCTCTATGCTACGTTATGATTTCAGGTGAACTCAAAACAACCGACTGTCCTATGAACTTCCCAGGTAGTTCTTACTGTGGAATGTTGGATGAGGTGGGTATTAAACACAGTTAAGCGCCTCATAGCTGCAATATGGTTTTGATTTGATGGCATTCAATATCGTAGCGTTAGCCTAATGGGGCAAATGAGTCAAATGCCAGATGCCTCATTTTGTAAACGTCGACTTTTGTTTCTGATTAGATAATGTATTTTAAATCCACCTAGAACCCCCCCCCCCCCTCCCCCCCTCTATGTCTCTGTTTTGTTCTGAATTTGCACAATGATGCATGTAAAGCATATTTATGACACCCCCACCAACTTTTCCCACGCCTAATCTTCTCCCCTGTGACAAGTTACCAAAGCTGTTTAAAAAACGTGTATGTTTCCCTTTCAGTTCTACATCACCAGAGGTTGTCAGTATTGAGGATACGAGGGGAGATAAATCGTCTCAACTTCCGGTTCTTCATCAATCCGGAGCCATCGTTTTTTACATCCCATATGTTGTGTATAGTGTCATGTTTAAGCAGTATTTTTCATCAATCCATACATAAAATATTTAAAAAAAAAATTTTCTTTTCAACATTGTCTACGCAGGTGTTGCACTGGATTGAATTGTCATATCGATATCCCGATCCTGCATTCGTAAGCTTATTTCCCCCAAACACCCCAATGATTTCAACTAACATAAGAACAAAGAAGCAAGTGGTACATCGTGATGCTTTGTCCGTTTTCAGATTGTATATTTGATATGAATAAGCTAACTAACACGGGCATTTGATAACGGGCATGGACCTGCTCCCTTGATAAAAAAAACTCACAAAGATATTCAAAGCTACATTTTCTTTCTTGAACACATTTCAATGGCTTTCCCCACCCATATACAAATTTTTGACTCCAACCCCATCAAACAAAATATCTGTAAACTTTCAAACTCCGTTAGTCGCTTATATCACATTAATAAATGAATAAAATGAAAAAAGTTCAAAATGAATGAATAAATAAATAAGAATGGCACACTCTTGTCATTGTAGAGACCAAAATATTTACAACATGGCGTATCCGAACGTAGTCAACCCTTTCCTAAAATCTAGGAGATGTTTTAGGCTAGAGCTGAGAAGACGTCGATCTTGTTCTCGATAGGATCCGAGCGTTCAGGAACTTTAGGCACCTTCTTCTTTGGAATGTGGACGTCCGCTTCGTCGAACTGTTTACAATATCGAGACACAGTCATCTAGAATGAAATCGCATTTAAAATGATTGCTAACAGGTTTCTAAACAAAAAATGGACGTGTATAGGGGACATTGAAAGTATCAATTTGCACCGTTCCAGTTTTCAATCAGAAGTCTGTGGTTCATGTAATTCCACTTAAACAATGCTTTTTATGATGTTACTATCGATGGTTACTTAAAAAAATGGTGGTCGTGGATTATAATATCGGTCAGCGTATGCAAGTCTGATGACTTTGAATAAGTAATGTCCACTGATACTTCCAGTCGACTCAGCTGTAAATGGGTAAATGGTACGGATTATCCGGAAAGGTCAATGCCAAGAGGTTTGGCCGTGAACTTGTGTTGTTATCCTTGTAAAATATATTTCTTTCTTTCTTTTGTATAATAGAGGATAAATAATGATCAACTTACGTCGTCTAAATAACCAACATAGCGAGATTCTTTCTCTAACGGATCAGCACCGATAGTCATAGGACAGGACGTCTTCTGAACTGGACCTGAAATGATAAATTTCACAATAAGCGCATAACATATAACACATATAACACATTAACACAATTATTATTATTATGGCGGATGGCTCATAAAGTTCGCGTTTTTGATGGTGCATGTTCCACGCATTAAATCTTAAACTTTTTAAATCGTTTCATTGTACACTCTGCTAAAAACGGAAAATCGAAGCTATCCATAGTCATAAACTAGAAGCTTGCCATTGTGATCAAAATGAGAAGAACATGCAGCAAAATCCAGTTGATTCGAAAGCAGATAGGGGCGGTTCCGTCCGTTACTGAACTCGCCATGGCAAGTCGAGTCCCATATTAGATCACGAATCAGAACACCTATATCTGTTTATCAACCAGATTGCAGCTATATCTTACCTCTAAATTCCTCGGATATAATACAAGGTTGACCATCAACTCGGAGCAGGAGAGTTCCGTCTTCGTAGATCAGTGACACTTTATGCCACTGGTAAGGCAGCTGAAAATAGGCAAGTTGAAATGGTAAATACATAGATCCTTCGGGGAGAAATATTTCACCGAATGAAAACATAAAGAAACAAACAAAGAGAGAAACAAAGTAACAAAGAAAAGATTGTGAAAATAGTGCATGCCCTTATTTTGTTTGTCTCTCACCCTCTTTCCATCCCTAATGCTACTTCATTTCACATGTCTCATGACGAATCCAACTTACCAAGTCTCTGGTGCAGACGATAGCCTTGCGGACATTGGTTGTCTCAAACGCCAACAGGAAGGATTGGTCGGCAGCTCTGAAACCGATAGCAATGGAAGGTGTGGTGTACCCCAACTCGGTGACGTTACACCCATTGGACATGATGATTTGGTAGTTGTCTTTCGTGGATGGCTTCTCGTCAGCCTTAAAGCTAAACTCAATGTTCAGAGAGTCGCTCATTTCATTCCCAGCGAAGTACCACACCGTCAAGTAAGCGTCTTGGAAGTAGGCTGCTCTGGTACTGGTTTTGCCTTGTATCTGTCTAAGGGAGAGGATCGCTCCTGGGTTTAGCTCGATGAATGATGATTTGGCGTGGTCTACCAGTCCAGTCTCAAACGTGGCATTGAACATCGTATCACATGGAGATTTTACTGCAAAAAATCAGAATCAGTTCAGAGTTTTGTACTAATGCCCATTGGCTTTTAGTGAGCACTTAAGTGCAACAAAATAGCCATGGTGAGCTAACAGCTTTGTACCCCATCAGCTCCTCTGACCTGCACGACTAGCCCACGGGCGTAGTAAAAGATACTTACCACTATAAACTACTGGATTTTCTTCTGAATCGGGACCCCAGACACATCGGCACATCGTCTGATTCCAGATCAGACCGGAAACAGCTAAATTGCAGTCTCGCACTACCCACTTCCGGTTGACGAGCTGTTCATATTTACTGCTGTTTTTACCATGGTCTCTGTAGTCAGGACATCTTAAAGGTGCGGCATCACCTTTAGAGTACTCGCACCTGCAGGCGGTTTGGTTCCACATTAGTCCAGTCTGACAAACCTGGTCGAACCATGCCTTGTTGTAGTAGACTTGGAACTTGTTGCGATCCGTTTTGTGCGTTCTGTGTGTTGTGGAACAATCTGGAAAAATCAATTTACTACAACTGTTTGGGCTTTAAGACGTGTTTAACGCCATTCAATATTCAATAAGGGGGATTTTGCCAGGACTGCAGCATAAGCCTACCCTCTTTCGATCTTTAATCGCCCACGGTGCCTCGGTTTATTGTCCAATCCGAACGACTAGTCTTTTATATGGCCAACACCTCCGAGAAACTTGAAGAGAATTTAACCATTGTGTCCCTACTTTGACAGACGAGTAGTTCAGTGTCTCAACTAGAAAAGTTTGGGACCGTGGTCTTACATGGGTTGGGGCCCCTCTCCTGGGTAGGGACGCCAGTCCCTGAGGTAATTCGCCCGGTAATACCGATTGAGAACACCCCCAGCTTGGTAACAATTTTACTTACTGACAGCGTTATTTTTGTTGACCTTCTTCTCAACCAGGGGAGTAATGGTTGTTATTCGGTTGATGTTGTTCATTTCTGCCCGCATGTCCATTTTTAACTGCCGGTCATTTTTAGTGTAAGCCGGGTATGCTGATACTGACCAAACAACCAGGAGCACCAATATGCTGTACCGTATCGCGGACATCTTGCTCAATCTATTCAAAAATCAGTGAGAGAATTTTTGAAGTTGGTTTTAAAGAGAAACTGTCGTATGAATATTTTCATTAAGTTTTAGAATTGCAAGAACCACAGACGTCAAGCAGAAAATTGGAATGGTGCAAATTGATGCCTTTATGCGATATGTGAGCGTGGCACTAGGGTAGTTCTGACGTTTCCGTCTGTGGAAAATATGCACCAGAATACACCAAATTAATTTCTTTTTTCAAATCTGTCTTGGGGGAAAACTCCCTTGTACCTTTCATGGGAGGCTTGGGTCTGCATTTGGAATCTGAACCCGACAGTTGCGCCCTCCACCCCGACCAAAGTCAGCCTGCCCTTATTTGTACCCTATAGTTCCAGAAGGCGTTTCATCCTGCACTCTATAGCCGAGTTCAATTTTCTTCACATGTTGTTAAGGTATCGAACGCTCACGTTCCTCGAAGGTTCGTCAATTTGTTTTCCAAATACAAGTATTTAGCCAGGCCAAATAACACATCACCAACAATTTAACTGAACAAATTGGAAAATTGAGTCGCAAACTCGGCGTATTGACAGGAAAATTCCTTCAGGATGAGCTCAAATCGTTTATTTTGATAGATCTTTTATAACGCTACTTGTATCTTGATCTTTAAATTCGATATAAATACTCTGCTTAAAGGGATTGTAAAGAAGTTATCTTAAATTTGTCATATAGGTCAGGGACACTGATAGCATCAATTTGCACCATTCCAATTTTTAATCAGACGTAGGATTTGATGTTTGATAAATAAATTTTTAGAAAACCTCTTTACAATCCCTTAAATTCAATAAATTAGAAATGCAATAACAGAGTTTTACGCCCTACGTTTCTGTAACTAATAAAAACCATCATCACTATGCAGTGTGAATTGAGGAAACTCTCTGATCATAGATATACATATTTTTTCCATTTGTAACACATTGTACTACGGTGGCCTTGGAAGGTCTAATTACTAAGTAGCCCAAATGGGACAAGTTATATATCACAGTAGACCTTACGGGGAAAAAAGTAGCTCAAATGGGAATCAACTCAAACGGGAATTAGTCCAAACGGGAAGACACCGTTCAAAATATGACGGTGTCGGGTTTTAATTTTAATCCCTTTCATTCTAATCATCAAGCCAGTGTGTTCTATTACCTGTAGACTTTGGCACAATAAAATCGGATATCAGGTTCGTCCTCAATAGATAAAACCTAAATTATATTGCTCTGCTTCGCACACGGATTTCGACATACAAAAACCCATATAAAGAAAATATTCATTTGAATCTACTGTATTTTCAACATTTCAAGGATTTCGCGTTAGATTTTACCCGAAATGTCTTAAACTATGAAATGCATGGAACTCAGTTTGAAATAATTAAACTTCGTTTCAGATTGTGCTATAAACATTTAGAGGAAAAACTTGTACGTACCTTACAGTTCTAGTAGGATCCGTCAATTGATGACATTGTTTCGTTGACTTCTGACGAGATTCGTGGATTGTTTTTCCTTTTAAAATGGCGTTTATTTAGTCTTAGCCAAGAACAAAGACATCTTCAACACAATAAATCAACATTGTAATCGAAGAAGGGGAATTTCGCCCAGAATATTTAACTGTAAACAACATCTATAATGCCACCCCAAACATTTTCTTAACCCCCAGGACAAATATACCACGACTATGATGTGTTAGATGTCGAAAGCCATTGATCCCTCGACGTTTTGTGTCAAACTTCTAACGAAATTGCGGAATCTGTGTTGAATCAGAACACATAACAGAGAAAAGTGCGAACATAATCTGAAAAAATTTGGTGTCACTTTTCAAACAATTTCAGTCATCTGATTGGTCAATCACTAAAATTGATATCAAATTTATCTTCCAATCAGATTAGCCTACTTTATTTCTTCAAATCTGGATTTTATCTTAGTTTTCGAGAAATAGGCCCCTGTTTCGTTTTGTGTTTTTCCGATATGTTACTCGACTTGTCAGTCATGATCTTATAAGACTGGTCTTTGATTCCTTTATTCTAAAGTTACCCGTAATTTTAACATGAAGTTTATTAGCAATGCACTTGCCAGTCTACACCGCTTTTTAATATAGCCTACGGGAGATAACTCAATATAAAAACCTCAGCCCCCTCAAACTGTCTGTAATTGAAAGTTGAAAAGGAACGAAAGAGTCCGTTCTATTTAATGCTCTGGAAGTCTTTTATAACAAACATTTGCTCGAATTACGGATTGCATATCTCATAAAGATTACAGGCGAAAGTGTTGTAGTTTCTGACTCGATGATAATCGATCGGTACGATGTTATCAATACGCTTGCGTCGTCGGTAGAGGCCTAATAACTTCTATTTTTGGGTATTGCATTAGGAGCATATAACTTGAAAAACCCTATTATAGTATTCTCATTTCGAGGGCTCATAGTCAGACATCAGATAGACTTCAAGGTAAGAAGAGCACCATGATTAATTAAACAATTAATTAAAGTTATAAAGTGTTATATAGGAAACATCATTCATTATTTGTTACTACGTCAAATTAAATTTTTCTTATGTAGGAAATTTCAGGGCCGGCCTCACGGAAGTTTTTCCCGTCGGCATTTTATTCGGTGTTGTATATTGTTAAATCCTCATGTTTTTAGGGGGTTTCTAGTTTTGGTTTGTGTTTCAGGGACCTTTTGTAAAACATTGAATTCTTGTCTGACATTTGTGGTTCCTGGCATTCTTGGATATTTTTAAGTCCCCATCGAGAATAACACCTGAAACCAAAGTGTATATTAATTCGATGGTGAATTATTATGATAATTGCATGATTTTTCGTTGGAATGGTAAAACATAAAAAAAAAACCCTTAAAACCCACCAAAAAATCCCTAAAACCAAGATGGCGGAGTAATAATAGTCACTATGACTCGAGTTAAAAACCGAAACAAGGAAGAATATATGCATGTATGTTTGCTGGTCTATTTTTAACTAACAGTAACAATCTACTGCGTAATTGCTTTAAAAAGGGGATTGTCAACAGGTTTTCTAAAAAAAAATCATTTGTATAAGGAACACTGATAGAATCAATTTGCACCATTCCAATTTTTAGACATCAGTAGTTCTGTGTCCCGTAATTATATTTAATAAATGCAGTTTATGACGTCACTATGGCAAATGTCCTTATTTATACCACAGACATCTGATTGAAAATTGGAATGTTCTAAATTGATGTTATCAGTGTCCCCATACACATAAAAAGTTTAAAAAACCTCTCTACAATCCCTTTAAAAAATGAGATATCTAAGCCAAAATTTAAATTTAATTGTAATATTTATTCTTTTAGTAGGCTAAAGTCATGTTTAGAATTGAAGTTATCGGAATTTTGACTCTATTTTTTTGGATAGGTTATGTAAGTATGCCTTCTCACCTTAATTTCGTAACTGACCCCATTCAGGATTATGATGGAACTTGCGAGAGACATACACAAGGATGATAAATTTGTCGTTAAAGGCGGGTGGTTTGGTATGTGATAAATGTCCACCAGGTACTCATTGGCTGGAAACAATGTCATGCTTGCCCACCTGGTACCTTTTCGACTACAGAAAATATAGCATTAGGGCAATTTTCTCCACCAAGACCTTCCAATTCTTCCCTTCTCCTTGATCAATATTAATTATAATGGACTCTTTCAAGAATATTTTGTCAATTCAAAACATCACATTTTTTCATACCTGGCAATTTAGATAAACAAAACAGTCAACCAAAATTTGTCGTTATTTTTTTTACAGGTAAAAGGGGGATACCTGTGTCAACCAGGTACTCATTGCATAGCAAACTGCAAGGGTGGAAACAATCAGCCAAAATGTCAAGATTGTCCACGTGGAACCTTTTCTACAAAAGAAAATACGGCATCATATTGTGAAGTCTGTCGCCGGGAAGAACATTGTCCATTAGGAACAGTCTTCAAAAATACTTGTACTAGTACCACCGATAACCGCTGTGATTGTAAAGATGGAAGTTATTGGCAGAGTTACGACGGCTACGATGGACGATGTTTCTCACATAGTAATTGTAAGGAGGGCGAAGTCGTAGTGAAAAAGGGTAACCCAATTCTCTTCTTCTCTAAAACAGTGATTATGACAATGTCGTCCAAGAATGCCTCTTCACTTTCTTATTTGATTGTTTACGAACCTGGCGTAGGATGTTCATTCAGGAAAAGTAATTAGACAGCACAAATTGTAATGGGAACATTGTTGTACTTTATTGGTTGGTCTGACAATGTATTATTGCATATACAGTGGAGTTTCTAGAAAAAATTAGTTGAGGGGGTCACGAAATTTTACTTCCACTATGTAAATTGATACAAATTTTGAAAGTGTGG